ATCGTAGTATCCATCCCTCTATCAAAAATTCCACAAAATCTTATGGCTTTATTGACCTAATGCCATAATCGTAGTACCCATCCCTCTGTCAAACAGTCCACAAAATCTTATGGCTTTAGGCACCTACTTCCATAATCGTAGTATACATCCCTCTATCAAACAGTCCACAAAATCTTATGGCTTTAGGCACCTAATGCCATAATCGTAGTATCCATCCCTCTGTCAAACAGTCCACAAAATCTTATGGCTTGAGGCACCTACTTCCATAATCGTAGTATCCATCCCTCTATCAAACAGTCCACAAAATCTTATGGCTTTAGGGACCTAGTGCCATAATCGTAGTATCCATCCCTCTATCAAACAGTCCACGAAATCTTGTGGCTTCAGGGACCTAATTCCATAATCGTAGTATCCATCCCACTATCAAACAGTCCACAAAATCTTATGGCTTTAGGGACCTAATGCCATAATCGTAGTATCCATCCCTCTATCAAACAGTCCACAAAATCTTATGGGTTTAGGGACCTAATGCCATAATCGTAGTCTCCATCCCTCTGCCCTAAACCCTAAACCCTAAACCCCAAACCCTAAACCCTAAACCCTAAACCCTGAACCCCAAACCCCAAACCCTAAACCCTAAACCCTCCCTATCTCTTTTTGCTTCTTGCGGGGCAGCGACGGTGCAGTCCAACGGCCGGCAGAGGCCCTCTTCGACCTCGGGGCGCTGGAGCAAGGAGCTAGTGGCCATAAGTATCTGTATATTTATATATATGTATATGTGTATATATATATATGTGTGCGTGTGTGTAGGTTTTTTGTCTGTTTATTTATGTTTTCAAGTTTGTATTTATGTGTATATATATATATATGTATGTATATGTATATGTATATCTTATTGACCTATGTATTCATTTATATTTATTCGTTTTGTGTATGTATGTATGTGCGTGTGTGTGTGTGTATATATATATATATGGGCCCCTGTGTTCTGGGGCCAGGGCCCACTGACCCGAGTAGACGCCAGATGCTGCATCCAACCTGCCACAGAACGAATTTAAGAATCGATGACGGTTATCTCAAACCTGATGTGCGGATGGGATTTCGCGAGGTCCAAAACCCCTAAGCTGAAGCGGTATCCAGCTTTCATGTTCAGAATCAGACAGCATGGCTACTTTGGGCGTCAAGTTTCAGGTGCTTGAACAATAGCAGGATTTCGATATAGACATGAACAAGAAGAGTCTGCATGACGACGGTGTTGGTGGCATCACCTTCAGACCCGTTTGTTGTGCTGACTGGCCTGGCATCGAGCTGGACCTCAGGTAGTCTGCAGCATGGTTTAGAGCACTTGGCGGCTTTGCTTGGTCTGTCCCGAGGTGCGGACCCACTTCGAGCCACCCATGCTGCTGCTGAGGCCTCGCTGTGAGTGGATCCACCTGCCACGCGACTGAGAGAAGGAATTCTCAGCTCGTACTGGCACTTAGATTCCGTCAGCAGCATGGGGGCCCAGCCAGCGGTCCAGCGAAAGCTCTGGGAATCGAAGTGCCGCGACGAAACCTCGCAGTGTATTCCCTTAGTTCAGCAAACAATCAACCATCCACTCCATCCACTGTCAGAGTCTTAGCCTTTTGCCAGAAGTGTTGTTGCTGTTGCGCGGGTCCTGCTCCAGGGTTTAGTCTCATGTTCGGCACATGCTGCTAGGACGCACATTCAATTCAAAATGTCTGCACCACAACCCGGAAGTAAGATAAGTCCCTCTTCAACATGAAAAGAAGCGCGATTGCTCCTGCATGTGGAGTTCTGTCAGAGCCAAGCCGCTCCAGCAGCCTTCAGCAGACAATCTGGAACCAAAGCTCACACTTGCAGGAAGCCACAGTTTCAGGGTTCGACAGGCCCAGAACGAAGCATTTTGGAAGCGCTAAAGACTGCACGCAAACCTGTCTATGTGGGTGGTTGTCAAAATTATGGTCCCTTTTTGGGGTCCTTATTATAATACGGCACTACTATTTAGGGTACCGGTCCCCTTTTTGGGTCCTTATTATAATACGGTACCTATTATTTAAAGGGTACCCCAAAAAGGACCATAATTTTGACAACTACCCATGTGCCTACGTCCTCCCTGGCAGCTGGCCCAAGTCCCTTTCATCCGTCCGTGCCTCCGCACCTGAACCGATACACGTCACCGCAAATCCCAACAACAACAAGGACACCTCCGGGTGGACTTTAAGGGAAGACAAGGGAGTTTCCGAAAATTGGGGGTACCTTATTTTGGGGTCCTTATAATAGGGATCCTATGATTTAGGGTACTATATTAGGGTCCCCTATTTTCGGAAACCCCCACAAGAACCTGGAGTCCCGGAGGCAGATACGAGCACTGATCCACACATACATTACGGGCAGACATCCGGACAGACAGGCAGAGAAAGACAGGACAGCGACAGACAAGAAGAGGAAAGACAGACAGAGACAGCAGACAGACTGAGGATAAACGGGGACAGACCGAGGCAGACAGACACACTGACAGAAAGACAGAAAGACAGACAGACAGACAGACAGACAGACAGACAGACAGACAGACAGACAGACAGAGAGTCAGAGACAAAGCCAGACAGGCATAAAGGTTACAAAATCCAGGCCTGTTGTGATCTCGGGTTTCCGGCGCCGGAGAGGCCTGGACAATATCAAACCCTGCAGCTCCCCAAGCGCTGACAGTAGGGAACAGCACTTCGCCCCCAAGGCACCTTCCCTGCCCTGGCCTGGTCTGGTCCTACATGGGGGTTTCCGAAAATAGGGGGCCCTAATGTAGTACCCTAAATAGTAGGATCCTTACAATAAGGACCCCAAAATAAGGTACCCCCTAATTTTCGGAAACTCCCACATGAACAAACCCTTGAAAAAGCGCGCCACCACGCATCACTCTCATCACTTTGCACACTTTCAGACGCATCCAAAATGAACGCCCGAGGCCCGTTTCGCGTTCCCGAACCCTACCTGAGCTCTAAATCCTACACAGGTAAACCCTAAAGATGCACGGTTGGACAGCTGGGCGACGGGCTCTGCAAGCAGCAAAGGAAGCATCCAAACCTGGGCCCGGATGCAGCACTCGCCCACCAGGGCCCCAGATCCCCTCACGGTGCTTGAGAATGAAAGATACTAACCATTCCGATAATCAGAAACATAGTACTAAGAATCAGGATAATACTGTTCATGGCAATAAAAATACTAGTAGCAACAGTAATGATAGTAATATTAATACTAGTAACAGTAATACCACTAATCCTTGCAAGGACAGTCCACTGCGCTGAGCCCTGGAAAGGAAGTCTAACAGCAGCGAGAGCGCAACAGAGAGCCGGGAATCCTCTTGAATTCTCTACAAACAGCCAAGCTACACCAAATGGGAGTTTCAGATAATAAGGGGTGTACCTTTTTGAGGGGTCCTTATAATAAGGATCCTACTATTTAAGGTACTATATTAGGGTCCCCTTTTTTCTGAAACCCCCAAAATACGAAATGCCAAGAACCGTTAGAACGAAACCTCGGATCCCAAGCCCTGTGAAGCCGCGCCTGGCTGAGCCGATCGCCACGCAGCTTGGCCTGCCACGCGCAAGAAGAAAAAAAGACTTCCGAGCCATAGCAGGCCACACCATTCCGCGCAAAGGCTAGCCCCCCAACAGGCGGTTCAGGGTGTAGGGCTTAGGGCCCTAAACCCTAAACCCCAAGCCCTAAACCGGCCAAAAGTGTGGAAGTCGGAGATTCGCCCGAGAGCCGTGCCTTCCCGCGAAGAGAAAACGCTTCGGCCCGGGGCTCGGGCGGCCGACCTTCCAATGCCTCAGCGAGCATCGGAGAAAAAAATCGAAACCCTCGACACCTACGGTAAGCCCCTAAACCCTAAAGGCCCTAAAGGCCCTAAACCCCTAAATCTCTTAACCCCTAAAACCTAAACCTACATCTTCACACCGAGCTGGCATGCTGATGATGTTCCCGAGCCTCTTAGGGGAGGAAGCAACTTGTACGTAGCGTTGCACTTGGTTTCACGTCTACTTTATCGCTGACATCGATGATCTTGAAGCTCCCGTGCCCGACCACGGGAATGAATTACTGCTCGTGCACCGATTTCCCTGCCCCCCTTTCACGACACTGCCGCAGGTACCAAAAGGCAAAATGCTGCTCCATCTCAGCATGGCAGGGACCCCGGTACCACTGAGGCCGGAGCCTTCTCAGCGAAGAGCTCACGTGTGAGGAGCACCCAGGTTGCCACTTTCACCGTCTTTCCTGCATACTTCATCTGGTGCTTCTTGCTCAGCGTATCGTCGTAGAAAGGAGTTGTCCCAGCCAGCTGCTTCCAAGGCCAAACCTCTTCCGAAAGATTCCGCTGCAGCCATTCCCGGAGCCCTTCCACATCATGGGCACGGGGCGGCCGGCTAGGTTGTTCCCAAGGCTTCACAACGCCATCCAGCAAGTCCCGCAACCAATGCACCGAGGGAGGCGGGAATATTTCTGTAGAGAAGGATACGAGTTGCCGGATGACCAACACCATGCTCCACTCGCAGGGCAAGCCCAAGCCACACAACAGCAGATGCAGATCATGCAGGGCCATCCAATCACCTTAGGGCAGAGAGAGTGCAGTGCCACTCTGTACTCCCTTCCGCACTCGACCATGCAAAGGTGCCCTCATGCAGAAGTGGCAGCTTTGTTGTTACGTCTAAAGCTATACTGTAATACTAGCTAACCCCTCTCCGGGTCGAAGCGCCCATGGCCCTCAGCCCTCAGAGCCCAGTCGCAGCTCAGCGCGCTCTGCAAGAGCCAGGCACAGCAAAGCAGCCGAATGCACAGCTGCGGGCCCACGGGCTCCAGAAGGCTGCGGATGTCCGATTGCAATTTCTGTGGGCCTTGTTTTCATGTTGTGACATGTCAAGGAGTGCGCGAGTGTGTGTATGTAGGTAGAATACCAACATACACACGTACGTACATACATGCACACATGAACAACATGTTGACGTGCGTGTGTAAGTACAGATGTACGCTCGTCTACATGCATTTCAGACAAAAGCAGAACTCTAGAGCCTACCCATGTCCATGTGCCCTATCAGACAAAAGCGAACGCTCGCCAAATTCGCAAACCGGGCGCTGTAGGAAGTGAGTATGAAGTTCACCTTGCGTGGCCAAAACTGCGACTGGTCCAGAGTCTCCCGGAGCCCTCGGGCAGTGCAGCGTAGGGCACTTATAGGTTTGAAGACCCGGGAATCACCGGCGCAGCCAGACAGCGCCCAAAGGACATCAGAGAGGATGTTTGGTGCCAGCTGCAGCAGTCTGTTCGTCTGGAAACTGGAGCCTCCTCTTTTCCGTCTCGGCCTCGCCAGCGATCCCGGCTTCTGCCGGGCCTGGTGGCAATTCAAAGCTCCCATATGGGTAGTTCTCAAAATTCGGGTCCCCTGTTAGGGTCCTTTTATAAGGGTGCCGCATTATATAGGGGACCTAAAAAGGGACCCTACTTTGGAGAACTACCCATATCCCAAGAAAGAGCCAAGATTTGCTGCGGCTTCGGCCCATAGCTCAAAGGCTGCTGAAGTGAAGGAGGACCCCTGAGTCCGGAAGAGCTGAGAGACTGGCTTTTCTTGTCAGTTCAAAGGCATGCCGCAGGGTGTCACCGCTAGAAACATACAGGACAGCCGTGCTGCGTGTGGCTTCGCCACATTCCCGCACGTCCATCTTTGCTGGCATCGTGGCACCTGGCGCGCGTGGGCGGCCGCCAGGCCACAAAACATTTATATAAAAGGAACGCTGGCTCCGATATGGCCAGCCACATCCCCGCACAAAACCCGCACAAAACCGTCAAAGGGCACCCAAGCCGGTCGTAAAATAATCCGGCCACTGAGTCGCACGACTCAAGGCTGCAATTCGGGAAGGCTGAGTGTGTTCCACAGCCACAGCTCCCGTCTGAAACAGTCGCATAGGGATACAGCAGCAATTCTACGAGATGTCAGCGCACTCCGATCGTCATGTACCAGACCAGAAAAACCTGTTGGGGGAGGGCAGAGAGTTCCCACCTCTTCTGAGAAGTTTTGAGCACCAGGGCCCATGTCAAACAGCCTCGAAGCTGAGCTTTCCCATTCGGGCTTTGTCCGCCTCAGCACGGTGACAACACTTCCCAACGAGAGAAGTCGGAGCAACTGGAGGAAAAACTTCGGCCCTACCTCGAGCCAGAATTGTCGCAGCCTCGTGGGGGAGATGTCTTCCCTCAGAGAGCAGTGGAAAGACGAGTCTTGCAGGTTCGGGGCTGTGGCGCTTATGCTGCCCTTTCCACAAAACACAGGCTTGGACATGCACCTTCTTCTCCTTGTCGTCTTGAAGTTTATATCGGGAAATCTACGACGGCACACTGTCGTTTGCTTTGTCCCACGCCTTACTCCACCGCCCGTCCTTTTAGTTGCCACTCGCCGGTCGGTTTAGGGTTCAGGCTTGCCGGCTTGAGAATCTCTCTCTGCTTGAAAATCCGCTGAATAGATGGGCGCCGGGCAGATCGCACTTCCACAAAGACGCCACGCAGTGACGGAACTCCGCTTCCTCAATAGAGCCGTTCCTGCGGTCTGAAAGTCCCAAGGTCTCAACGAAACCGCTGGTATGCAAAGTGCTGAAGGCTTTGATATCGGCGGTCGGTGGATTGGGAAATTCCCGTACATGCCTAGACAAGCAACAACCACCGGACTTACCCGACCATAAGCCTACGATTAGGGGGTCAGAGTCCAGAGAAAGGCTCATCATGCCGGAGACCTAATTTTGGCCTAGCGAGAGATTTCCATGAACCCTCTCAAAGCACCCGGAGCTGTAGCCCTGTAAACACAGAATCGAGGCAGACCTGTTGGCATCTGAGGCACTGAAGGTTTTGTGGCATCGATCGACCTGCGAACGCCCCAGATCTGTGGGCCAGTCAGTGGAAATAGCAGCAGGGGTAGTACTGGGAGTGCTACAGGCAAGGGTAGTGGGTGCGGCAGTAATGACAGTAGCAGCGCGGCAGCAAAGTGGTAAGAGCTGCATTCTCCTGAAAAAAATCTTCATCGTCGCATGCTTCTTTTCGCGATCTTCGATTGCGAACTTCATGCATCCATGACAGCTACAATCTGGCATAGTCCTGCAACCCTCTTCTTGCCCATATGGAATAGGTCCTAGGTTCCATCATTCCCTTAGTGGCTCGGCAAGCTTTCTTGGATACCTGGGGGGAAGCTATAGACCGCTACCTGCAGTCATTCAGAGCGAGTCCATCAAAAACCTTGGGAGCCAGAGCAAACAAAGGAGGAAACCTGAGAAGAAGATGGCAAGGCCATCGCCTCGTCGAGGGTGAAGTTATGTTTGCGAGCCAGCTCCCGCAGATAACGCTCCTGCTGAACAGGTTTTTCGAACTTCTTGAGATCTTCTGTTGAATACTCTGTCCCATCATCCGTCCCCCCTACTACTACCGTGTCCTGGGGATCATGCACCACCAGCTCTTCTGTGAAGGCATGCTCTGTGGACCTGCATGACTCCCCCCCCCCCTCCCCCGCGAGTTCTCGGAGCTTAGCGGAAAACGCAGCCCACGCTCCGCCCAAGCTGTGGCCCTTCCGGGGATCGCACCATAACAAAAACTCTTCGAAGCAAATCTCGGCATTGCCGTCCTTGTCAGCCTGCTGGGATGAATCTCTTTAGGTCGAGCCCTCTTTGCAGGCTCTTATGACGAGAGTGAGAACTCACGAGTCTACTTTCGGGCCTTGTTCCAGTTGAAATTGAGGAGGTGCGGTGGAACAACTTGACCGACCGGTATGGCGCAGCGGTCGCGAATCGCCTCCCACTTCACGACTGTCAGCTCAGTTTCAGCAGGTTTGGAGGCTCGTACCTGCTCAAATTCGTCGAAGGACAGGCGTCCGTCCTTGTTCTTGTCCAGGAGGAGATATTCCTGTTGCCGGGGCGGAGGACAGAGAATGATACAGATTTACCCCGAAACAGCCGTGTTGCTCGAAACCGAGAGAGCCTGCAAGCAGACGGGCGGAGAAACGGAGAGAGACAAAGACAGGCAGACCGGCGCGGCGCACCAACCCGCTTCCGTGCAGACTTGGCAAAGTAGTTCCATGATGATTCTTACAATTACTATTACTATTACTATCATTATTAATATTGATAGTATTACGGCAGAGAAAGAGCCGCATTTAGGCGTGCGCCTCCAGAGTTTCCCTCACCTGCACGACGGTCAACCTGCCGCCAAAGGATGAAAGCAAAAGGGCACAAGAGGCCATAAAAGTTGAGTCGCCTGTGCTTTTTGGCCAGCTCGCTGCAGGTGGCAAAGCTAAGCCTGAAAGCAAAAGCAGGTCCGGAATGGACTGCTTAGATCTAAATGGGAGTTTCCGAAAATAAGGGGTACCTCATTTTGGGGTCCTTATAATATGGATCCTACTATTTAGGGTGCTATATCAGGGTCCCCTCTTTTTGGAAACCCCCAAAGACTGTGAGTTTTGTGCTTTGGGTTTAGGGCTGAGGACCCTGAAATCTCTTCTTCCAAGGACGCTGCTCACGCCCGTGGCGCTCCTCATCGCCTGGAAGATGATCGGAGTGGCCGAAGATGCACGAAAAAGAGCACAGATTTGGGGGTTTCCGAAAATAGGGGACCCTAATATAGTACCCCAAATAGTAGGGTCCTTATTATATAGACCCCCAAAAAAGGTACCCTAATTTTCGGAAACTCCCATTTGTCTGAGTCCCACAGGTAAGTTTGGCCTCGGTCCTCGACCGGTTTCTGCCTTTGCCTCAGAACTAAGCAATGCGAAAGATGAAGACCGGCAGCAACACGGAAGGCAACAACCGCAGCGCATCGCTGAGGCGCTGGCCAGGTTGCCGTCCTCCTGTGACTCGGATTCCGCGAAGTGTGCCTCGTGGCTGAGACTCTGGGACCTCAAGCTCCAGGCTTCTCTTGCCCTGGGCCTCACCGCTGCCTCCGGTCGGTACGGAACGCTTCCTGGGTCCGATCGGGCCGAGGGGGGCCGGCCACACCGCCATCAGCTATCCCAGAGAGCCCACTACCCCTTAATTAAGGAATATACCTTAAATTATAGGGGCCTTAATATTATGATTTAAAGTACATTCCTTATTTCAGGGGTATTGGGCTCTCTGGGATCCAGCCAACTGGAAGAGGCCTTCGGCCGACACACAAAGCTCCCGACGTTTGGAGGAGTAACGCTGCAGCTCCGGACTCTCCTGCGCAGGTGGCCAGCAAAAGGACGCGCCGAATATCCGGACAGGGGCTCTCCTCGCCCGGCAAAGAAGCGGCGTCATTCGTGCTCACCTGCATTACCCGGGCTGGCGGTACTGCAAGACAGGACACTACTTTATTTTGCGCTATGTCGAGCGACCTTGCGACAAGCACCTACAAATCACAACTGGGTACGTTTACGTTACAAACAGATATGCACATTGAGATAAGACAAGTGCCGCTCGACTGAGACCGCCGCTTGTCTCACCGACATGGGTGACATTGGTGGCTCCGTGTCGGCCTCACCTGCACCGAAGTCAAACAATGGAGGGCTCTCGGGGTTTACAAGTGGAGTTGGCCTGCAGCGACCACCATCGCCCAGTCGACAGCTGCCTAACAACTTGAAAGCCTAATGGACTTGATGCAGATTGTAGAAACCTATACTCACGGCACTCTGCTGGGAGGCGGGCCAGAACCGCCTAAGTCGCGTGCTGATCTTGCCAGTAGCTAAGGTCTCAAAACATGCGGTCTGACTTTCAATGGCTCGCTTTCAGAAGGCACACCTCGGAATATGCAACCTGGGGCGTGCACCAAATCTGCCTCGTCTCCGATGATCCGAAACGGATCTGCCTGTCAAATTCTCCCGTTCCCACTTGTCCCAAAAAGTCAAAAGCGAGGAAGCCTAGAGCCTGGAGCCCAAGATGCCGTCGGAACACCCCCCGCGCCCCCACCCCCCCCCCTTCCAAAGATGCCTGGTTCTCGTCCAGGACCTCTTCGGCGGAGGAGGCTTTTTCGGTGTCGCTCACCGGGCTCATCACCTGCAGCTCCTCGTACTTGGAGAGTTCGCCTTGGCCGAGACCTCGGCTTTGAGTCGGCGAATCAAAGTCCTCGAGCTCCTTTGGCTTGGCTTGTGCGATGTCTTTTTGCTTGGCGTGGAAGAGATCGGAGAAGCCGCTCTTGAGCATGTCGTGGATGCTTTGCTCCCTCTCGAGTTCTTCCTCGGGCTCCGTCACCTCCACCTCCTCCATGAGCTCAAACTTTTTTTTCTTCTTCTTGGGATTCCGCCTGCCAAGATGCGCGGCTCCAAACCCTTGAGAGAACCTCTCCACTGCGCCTGGGAGCATTGCCTGACCGCACCTCAGCCCAAGAATGAACGGATTCCTCTTCTGAAGCCCTCTATCCGGAACGACA